AATTCAGATAAATAGATTCAGCATTTTCAACATACTGCACTCTAGATTTATTCTTTTTGAATTTCTGTCCGGATCTACCTGAATGCTCTGGCTTTGATGTACTACGTTGTACCGACTATTGATCAGATTTTACATGTTTATGAGGGCAACATTTACCTAAGTGTCCATACTGTTTACAGGAATTACACTGCCTTTTCCTATGAAAACAAACATCTGGCTCATGGTTACTTTTACCACATCGAAAACATTCTTTTTTTGTTGGTTGTGAGTTTATTTGCAGTATGTTTAACCTCAATCTCAGGACCGTTTTTAAGTTTCACAGTTTCTTTTGCAGCCATTTCCATCGACACTGCAATGTCTAAAGCTTTCTTAAGTGTTAACTTATCTTCTGACAGCAGCTTCTTCTGGATCGAAGGTGTTGCTAGACCACAAACAAAACGATCTCTAAGTGCATCATCAAGAAAGTCTTTAAATTCACAGTTCTCACTTAACCTTCTCAATTCAGCTAAGTATTGACTCACACCTTTCCCCTCGCCCTGCTTCCTTTGATGAAATTTAAACCTTTCTGCAATGATGAGAGGCTTGGGCTTTAAATGATCCTTGATCAATGTTCTGAGTTCATCAAACGATTTTTCTCCAGGTTTAGCTGGTGAGGAAAGATTTCTAATTAAACTGTAGGTCTTGGATCCTACCACCGACAATAGAATAGATCTTTTAATTGCCGCATCGTCTATCTTATTCGCGATAAAATAGTGAGACAACCTTTCATCGTATTCGTCCCAGTTTTCACCATACAGGTTAAACTCGTCAATTTTCCCGAATGCTGCCATTCTGCTGCTCAAATATTCAGTAAATCAAACAGTTTATAACCGACAATTGTTTTCCAAAGATCCTCGTCGCCACTGTTGTGTTGGGTTCTTATATTTTATTAAGGAAAAACTAGAATGTCGCTGTTACTTTTTACTGATTTAATATGGCGCTAAACCTTCACAATAAGAGAGTATTCAACAGTCTTCAATAGCCTAAAATTGTCACTATATTGTTAATTCTTCAATAGACTAAAACAGTTAGTATTACACTGTACATTCAAACACTACAATACAAACACAAGATATTTGTAGTTTATGTAGTTTTGCTTTCAAAAATATTATGTGTATAAACATTCTTAGATATAAATGATATTTTACTCAGGGATTTGATTTCTTACAAGGATGTTACAGTATAAAGATATTTTAGATATAATGAAGGCATATGTTTTTACCTCATTTACAGCACAAACAGATACTTTGCTGCAAGCTTTCGGATCGATTAGCGCATCGCAACTGAAGCAATATGGTCCTCTTTGATTTACTGGCACGGCTTCAAACAAATTTTAAATAAAATTCAAATCAAATTCAAAATCTATCAATCGCCATCAATGACAGCGTTTAAATAATAGAATGTTTATAGTAATAAATAATGCAAATTTTCAATCACAGTATTCTACATGAAATCTTATAAATGTGCTTAAAAGTTTCTAAGTATATTTAATTTCGAAAGCGAATGAGTAATAGAATGTACATATTGTATTGTTTATATACTAAAATGTGTATCATTTTAATGATGATTCAATTGAAAGCGAATAAACAATAAATATTTCATCCTAAAATAGTAGCATTTTAATGATGTTATGATAAGTTGTTTTGCTATTTACTGTCAGTTCCGCATCCTTTGTTATTGCAGAATTCTCCAGAACAACATTCAATGCATGTCGATATATCACCAGTGTTCCTTTCTTGGATGTTTGCTGATCTCTTACCAAGTATCAATGAATTTGCCGTCGTACATCTCTGTTAGCAATTAAATACATACTATTAAATATTTCGAAAAAATAAAATAATGTTAGGGGCCTTATTGATCTGTTACATATCGTTTCCAACTTATAATGAACTTGTCATAAAATGAACATAAATATTTATATAGCATTGACATAATTTCATTAAGTAGCCATTTGTACATGCGTTGTTCTCCATTTTGTTTCAGGAGGGGTTGGGGTTGACATCAATTGTTTATGCAATGCTTATTCGCAACTTATCTTATTAAAGATTACTTGAGCATGATTGCATAATGCGTATAATTTTATTGTTTAAGATAATCGTATAATTATACAAAACAGTACAAATGTTATACCATTACTATTCTGTGAGATGATTCTAATTTTGAAGGAATTATTTTTTCCTATTGTCTATAAATATCAAAAGATTTACCGTTATAGTGGTAATTGACCAGTAGATGATTTTGAAAAATGATTGGGATAAAATATAAATATGCCTTAAGTATAAAAAGACTGTTTCACTCGTTTTTATAATTGTGATATATATTTATAGAAATGTCCTTGTGTTCAGCGAGATATTTATCGTTCGTGCAGAGTAAATTTAAATATTTATAAGGAATTTTTACAAAATATATAAACTTATTTTGCCACCTCAGTTCACTAACTATATACACTTTGATGGGCATAATGTCATATCAATCCTGATTTAGATATTTGTTATGCTTTTGATATCACATATACAATTTTTTTATTGGTAGAAAACTTACATCAGTGGCCAAGCACCCAGTGTTATATACAATATTACCACTTGAAGTAACAACCTGCTCTGTTGAACATTGCTGTAAAATAAACGCTGTATTAACATTTTTCTTAACATGTTTTATACACAGATATTTTATATGTTTACGATAAACGATTTATGCATTTTATCAATGCTCGTTATTGAACTTGATGATACTTTAAACATATCCAACTTTTAACATCGGACTTAAAATGAAAAAGTTGAGCATTTAAAAAGATACACAAATATAAAATTATACTCTAAATCTGAATATAGTTTTTATAATGAAATGTCCTACCTCATGCCGACCGCAAGTTACGGCATTTGAACAATCACGTGGATATGGCACGTCTTTGCATTCGAAACAGCGAACGCCATTGCCTTTTTTTAAAAAGTGAATAAAAATCATAGTTTTATGAAAGCACAAAATCTGAAACTGTAACATACATCAAATGTTGCCCTTGAAATTGAAACAAGAGCACCGCTAGGCAGAGCATTATATGTCTTGAACGAATAAACAAAAATATGACTTCTTTCATTGTCCCCATTTATGAAGGAAATACGATGTATACATAAATTAAAGAAATTGATACATTAACACATTAAAATCAAGTATTACCTCCTTCAAAAATCATTACTCCTTTATAGCTCTTTATAGCTAAAGAGCTTGATATATATACAGTTGCTATTTCCAAAGCACCACCATCGAGTTGTTATCTTGTTAGTAAAATACTATGACGGATGTACAGAAAGACAACAGGGGTATAACATACTATAAGCAAATATTTATAGGGCATATAAAAAATGTACTCAATATAATTGCAAAGTTTGGCAGTTGTAAAACTGTTTACAATATTAAGGTCATTTGATATTGACATTTGACCTTGTGACCCTATTATAGATATGGATCTTTTATTCAATATATACAATTATCCTATGAAGCTTGAACACTGTAAGCCAAATGGAACTTGTGTTATGCTCCAGAAACTACAATTTTCAGTGTTAAGGTCATTGTAACCCTGACCTTTGACCTTATGACCATAAAGTAAAAAAGATTCATGTATTTGACATGGCTGTTCATCATATAAAATTTTACAGCTGTAGGTTGATTAACACTGAAGTTATTGAGCTAAAGCCGTTTTCAGATTTAAGGTTATAATGACCTTGACCTTTGACCTTGTGACCCAAAAAATTAATAGGGTTCCTCTATTCAAAATTGACAATCATCCGCGGAAGTTTGAATACTTTTGGCCAAATGGAACTTAAGTTATGCTCCAGAAACCACAATTTTTAGTGTAAAAAATCATTGTGACCCTGACCATTGACCTTATGACCCTAAAATCAATAGAGTTCATGTATTGGGCTTGACTGTTCATCTTATAATATTTTACAGCTGTAGGTTGATTAAAGTTATTGAGCGGAAACTGTTTTCAGTTTTAAGGTTATAGTGACCTTGACCTTTGACCTTGTGACCCAAAAATTTATAGGGGTCTTCTGCTCAATAATGACATTCATCCTATTAAGTTTGAATACTTCGGGCCAAATGAAACTTAAGATATGCTCCAAAAACCACTATTTCAGGGTAAAATAATTGTGACCCTGACCTTAATCTTTTGTCCCTAAAGTCAATAGGGGTCATATATTGGACATGGCTGTTCATCCTATAAGATTGTACAGCTGTAGGTTTATTAATACTTAAGTTATTGAGTGGAAACTGTTTCATTTTTAGATTATAGTGACATTGACCTTTGACCTTGTGATCCAAAAAATAATAGGGTTTATCTACACAGTATTGACAATCATTCTATGAAGTTTGAATATTGTTGGCCAAATGGAACTTAAGTAATGCTCTGGAAACCACATTGCTAACGGACAGACGGACGCCAGGGGGTATAACATAATATGTCCGAAATTTTTTCGGGCATAAAAATAAAACTTTTAACCAGAATAAATTCATTTGTGGTACACAGATTTCGAAATTAAAACAACAGCAATATTTACCTTAATATCAAAACACATCAGATAGTTCCCTTCAAGTTTGATTTTATTTTGCAGAACATGAACACTTCTACGGATGATTTTAATTTAAAATTGTACCATTTGATGATAATTGTAAAGTTCTGCTTAAGACGGTGTCAAGTTTGCCGTTTTTTTGGATGTTCTTTAGGCATTTTGTTTTCTCTATTTCACATCAATACTTGTTCAGTTTCAGTCAAATGTTCAAATAATACAAAAGAACATAGATGCATATCAACTTCGAAATAATTTCTTTATTTATTGATTTGTTAAATCACTTATTTGGTTATATTGATCATCAATTTTATCATCAAGATTTCTCAAGTTCTTGTCATGCTGCAATAGATTTTTTTTATCTTGAAGACATGTAAACTATAATAGAGTAAAACTAAATTATAATATAACTCACAAGTTTACAAAATTAAGTCATAATATAATATAGCTCACACGTTACATTAGCATGATATAAACACAAGTTTGATTGGCAAGATAAAATATAATTCATAAGTTATATAAGCAAGATTTAATATAACTCACACATTACATTAGCTAGATATAATATAACTCACAAGTTACATTAGGAAGATATAACTCACAAGTTACATTCGGAAGATATAACTCACAAGATACATTAGAAAGATATTACACATAAGTTACATAAGGAAGATTTAAAAATACTTAAAAGGTGCATAAGCAAGATATAATATAACTCATTAAATAGAGAAAAACGAAATCCTCACGGCAATATTGAAAATGTTGCAGGCTCGATTTGATTGAGTCTGTTCATTGACAGTACTGGTAAATGCAAGCTTCCTACATAAGTTACACTAGCAAGAAATTATATAACTCACAAGTTTCTACAACAATATAAAATATAAATCACAAGTTACATAAGTAAGATACAATATAACTCACAAGTTACAAATGTGCAACAAAGAACAAGAAGACACAGAACGATCCTCATTCTTCTATAACCACTTACACTATGATCTTCATATTATCAACCAGGTCAACGCCTTGTCATGATAACAGCTCTTACATTCATTTAAACTTAATTAAGTCATGGTCACACAGCAATTAAAGACATGTCTGTGATAGATTTACGAATAAAATCTTGAAAGCATTCTTCGTTTTCTTATGTCTTGCATTCAAGCAAGATTCATCATTTGTCAAAGCTGCGTTCTTAACAATTTAAAAAAAACCTAAGGACGATTCTGAGAACACTGTTTTGTGTGAAAGCATGTTTGTCTAACGTCGTCCTAATTATGGTCTTGTGTTGTTGTTTCCACAGATTTAATTTCGTTTTGTCGTGATTTATTTAAGTAAATAAGATCAATTTAATATATAGTATCCCTAAGATTAGTAATGGCATCATTATACAGTAGAGTTAATCATAACTATCTATATTGATGATTTCTTTTAAAACTTCATAAGAGTTCGTGTCAACTATCTAAATTTATGCTTTTCATTGCAAAAACAAAAACGACATTTATGGATATAAAAAATATATGCTACCTTTTCTGCGTTTTGAGCAAATCTTTAAAAATGTTACTTTAAATTTAAGAATGAAAAAACAACGACATATAATATTAATTTACCAACATGAAATTATATACAACAGCACTTTCTTTAAGTACATTTGTACTTGAATACCAACTGTATTGCCCTTTCATGAATTACGATGACCTTTCCTTGACACAAATGGTTTGTGCAGATATTGCTGGCTGTCAGATAGTTAATAAATCGGAGATGAACACCAAATAAAGCCAAAACGTGCCAGTACATGTAACTACTGATATACAGACATATAAAAACTAGGTTATTCACTGCAAACGGATAATGTGTGACTTCCTGATATAATGGTCTAGTTGTCGTCGATAGAATTAAACAATTAATAAAAATAAGTTTGATAAGTTTATTTTGAATATTCCATAAGGCTAAATAGCCCATGAGGATATACAATGCATTATATATGGCAAGACAGTATATAGCATAAATGTACAAAACAATTTAAACGGCGGAGAAGGTTTACAAATAATTAAATGTCTTCCTAGTTAGTATATGACATCAGATATTCTTACCAAATTCCACTTGGGTATAACTTTAATTTTACAATGAGAAATTTTTCAGATATTTTAGAACAAGATATCTACGGTTCTTTCAATCGAAAATTACATCATATTGTACCGCATAAAATATTAATTTCGAGGAAAATGTAACATATACCCATGTGAAATTTCACATCGAACAAAATGAAAACCGAAACTCTATTCTATAAGCACATTTAGGCTAAATTATAAATGTATCTGGTAATGACATGCAATATATAGCATAACAACTCACGTGAAAAAATATCTACTATGAATACTCGAAACTGCACCTATACCACGGTGCATATCCATATCGGTACCCTCTTTGCGAAATCTGCTGAAACGGTACCCTCTTTGTACATGCACAGGACATTCTCTGCTCAAAACAAACCAGCGATGGATAACAAGCCAGTAAAAATTCATTGTAATAAGGAAAGGAGGTATTACACGTGGAAAAGATGTATACCACGGAACACTAGAATGTTTTATCAATGTGCTGATTTGTCATGTGCCCGTTTTTCATGTACTACAAATTCACAATAAGCTACAAAAAATCAACATGTCTTACCTCGCCCATCACCTCGACATACTCTTCGGGCTGAAATGAACCTGTGGCTTGATTATATATGCATCATACATATCTAATATGTTCATTTACATATCATGTTCGGACAAATGGCAGTACATTGTCAAAAATAATGGTAAAATTCATAAAAACACACTACTTTCAGTTTTGCAGCGGCACGGGCTACCTCTCTTCATTTGATTTTTTATATCACAGGTACCCTCTCATTTTTTAACACATAGGTATACTTAATGCACAAGATATGCTTTTATTTGCGTTAATCGTTAATAATGTAATATTTACATGAATAAAGAAATATTACATACCTAACGATTAACGCAAATAAAAGCATATGTCGTGCCTTGAGTAAACCTATGTGTAAAAAAATGAAAGGGTACCTTTGATATAAAAATTCAAATGAAGAGAGGTAGCCCGTGCCGCTGCAAAACCGAAAGTAGTGTGTTTTTATGAATTTTACCATTATTTTTGACAATATACTGCCATTTGTCCGAAGATGATATGTAAATGAACATAGTGAATATGTATGATGCATATATAATCAAGCCACAGGTTCATATCAGCCCAAAAAATATGTCGAGGTGGTGGGCGAAGCAAGACATGTCGATTTTTTGTCGCTTATTGTGAATTTGTAGTACATGAAAAACGGGAACATGACAAATCAGCACATAGATTAAACATTCTAGTGTTCCGTGGTATACATATTTTCTACGTGTCATACCTTCTTTCCTTATTATATTGAAATTTTACTGTATTGTTATCCATCGCTGGTTTGTTTTTAGCAGAGAGTGGCCTGTGCATGTGCAAAGAGGGTACCGTTTCAGCAGATTTCGCAAAGAGGGTACCGATATGGATATGCACCGTGTATACTGTATACTTAACTCTCAAAGATATTTCATCAAAAATAAGTGAGGGATTCTTGTCAATAATAATATCTTGATCTTATCGAAACGAAATACAAGATCAACATATTACTTTTACATTCACACCGAAATATAAATTTATTTACACATTTAATATCAATCCAGGTACAATCAATATATAAAGCAAAAAGAATTATTGTGTATAAGTAAGATACAGTACCTAACTTGTATGATAAAGTTGACCTTGTCAATAGGAAAACACAAAGTCAACTTATGGAATTTATATCACTTTAAATTCTTAGTATATCTTTAATACATTTATATTTTATCAATTGTACCTGTTCAAGAAACATACACATATCAAGAAACATACACATATCAAGAAACATACACATATCAAGAAACATACACAATATCTGTATACTAACTATAAATAACTATAAATCTACATAACTATTTAAATCTGCTTACGAACTATATACAATTTCCCTCCTAATCTGAAAAGCACTAGATACAAAATTTGCAAGATTACGAGTTAATTTTTCTTTATCTGTATTTAACAATTCCAATAATGTTTGCATATTCGGGCGTCTCCAATAATAGAACGGGATAAAACGTTGTCTCAATTCAGCGTATACATTACATTCTAATATAAAATGAAATTCATCTTCTAAAATACCACATGCATAACAGATGTGTACTATTTGGTTTCGTCCATCTACCAGTTTCAATATGTAATCTATGTGAGGACACCCTCAGACGTGCTAGTTCGCAATAATATTTTTTAACATTAACTAAACTGAGGTATGGTTGCAATTTAAAACATGATATTTGCCTGTAAAATAATGCTCTACTGGAATCCTGTAAACGACTTGACCAGTTTTGAACAAAATGATCTCTTAATCTTTGTTTTACCACAATTAAAAACATATCAATATTTCCAACACTTTGCATAAGCCAGGAGTCATGGAACCCTAAAGAACACAAAAGAGACTTACTTAAGGAGCACCAATTTGCTTTATTAGGATGGTTTTCGAAATCAGTTTTCATTAGATTATACACTTTATATACATATTTGTTACTTTTTGTATGAATAATTTTTATCCAATATTTCAAAATATTTTATGTCTAAGTGCTTGAAAGGAAACTCTACCAAGCTCTCCATAAACAAAATCGTTTTGAGTGCTTTTTTCACACCTAAATACTTTTGCAAAATTGCATATGCACTCTTTCTATATTGTTACCTATAACAAAACCCCAAACTTCGCTACCATAATTCAAAATAGGACTAATCAGTTTATCAAATAACTCAAGTCTATGCACAACAGTAATATTAATAAATCTATACAGATATTTATTCATCTGGAAAATAGCTTTCATTGCTTGACCTGCAATAGTTTTTTGTGCGTATGCAAAAGACCCTCCGGTCGTGAAAACTATACCTAAATATGTAAACTTACTAACAATAAAAATTAATTTCAATAATAGAATCTTTATACATAAAAAATGCAATTTTCAGGTACTCTTCTACCTCTTCTAAAGATCATTACCTTAGTTTTAGTAGTAATAAAAGAGGCCACAGAACGATTGTCAGTGAGCTATCCGATTATTTGAAAGTACATCTACACACATCCATATATATTACATCTGACCATTAAGTAAAGTTAACATAAATTTGTTTCAGTTTCACTTTTAGCAATGACCTTGTTGTTAGAAAAACATTTTTTGACATTTCTTGTTATTTTAATGATACATAAGCAGAAAATCACTTTAAGTGAGTTTTTGATTTCATCATTTTGTGAAGTTGGCTGCCTAGCGGCCTGGCAGCCTAAAACTTTTTAAGTTATTGAAACTTTTTTTTTGTCTGGCAGCCTAAAACTTTTTTTTATTGAAACTTTGTAAAAAAACAATGAAAATGCTGCTTTAGTATTTATTTTTAAATTCAAGAACTTAAAACGTTTAGGCTGTTAGACCGCTAGACTGCCAATTTCACAAAATTATTAATATCAAAAACAATGTCGTACGAACTACATTAAGAGTCGTTTTTAATGTTTCTATAATATTTCAAGAACTTACAATGTTAGACAGCCATTTTCTTCACACAAAAAGCCGCGTCACGACAAAACCAACATAGTGCGTTTGCGACCAGCATGGGTCCAGACCAGCCTGGGCATCCGCGCAGTCCGATCAGGATCCATGCTGTTCGCTATCAGTTTCTCTACTTGTAATAGGATTGGTAAGCGAATAGCATGGATCCTAATCAGACTGCGCGGATGCACAGGCTGGTATGGATCCATGCTGGTCGCAAACGCACTATGTTGGTTTTGTCATGGCGCGGCTCAATTGTTTATTTTTAAAACATTTCCAAGCTGTATATAAAACTAGAATGATTGATTTTTTTAAACAAGAATGGTTTGGAGCAGTTTACAGAAATGGTCATACATTAAAACATCCTTTACATATGAAAAATACTTAGACATATAGTACCTTATAATCACCAGGTTACGTATTTCTGCTCACTCTCTTCGCATTCATACCTGAGCAGAATACGTACACGTGACCTAATTACTTACAAGACATAGAAGATACATACCACTTTGTATGTATATGCTCTTGTTATCGAAATCTAAGAGTAAAGTATGCAAATGATAGTATCCATAAAAGATCATCTGTTTTCAAATTTTATTATTGTTAAATAGCAATGACAAAAAAGAACTATGTAATTTAGCAATGTTCCTGAACATAAAAAATTTAAGTATGGTAGCACAATAATGTTCCATGCAAATTGTATTTTATGGAGTCCGTTACACTATGTTTATTAACTATGCTAATATGTTTATAAGTATTGTAATATACCTTTACTCTCCTGTTATATATATAGATCAATTTATATCAAGACAAAATTGTATTGTTTCGAAACGCTTTAATCATGTGCTATTTAGTTGTTGTATGTGTGTTGAAAGATGATTGTGAATAAAACTGTTTAATAATTCGCCGTCGAAAACGCGATGGGGGATATGTTAGTAGTCTCCGTTCGTTCTTCCACATTTTATTTTCAGAAGCTTAACTCTAAAAGTAATAACGTATTTGAGATATCAACATTAAACTTCATAGGTTGACAGATCTTACTAAGGAGGAATGGAGTGCCGTGTTGACCTACCCTTCAATGTTTTTGAATTATTGTCCTTTGTGTGTGTGTGGAGGGGGGAGGGGGGTTGTTGTTTTTTGGGGGTTTTTTTAGGGATGGGATCATTTTTAGGTCAGGACCATAACTCTTATATAATAATAATTTTTGACTTATTTACCTTATATTTTTCATGATTAGTAATTTTGAATGTTTTAGTAATTTGCCATGCTTAATTTTTGTTCGGAGCGTTAATTGAAAAGTTTTTGAGATTTAAACTCGAATCTTCATAAATTTAATAGACCTCATTATTAAGGAATGCAATGCAATAATAACTTTACCCATCTTATTTTTAAGGAATTTCCCATTGTTATTTTCAATGCTTTTTTGGTGGGAGTATGACTCGAAAAGTATTTAGGAAATCAATTATTTAGGAGATCAGTTTAAAATTTTACGTCATTATGGAGGTGTGCCATTCATAGAGTTACAACAGATGGTTAGATGAATAGTAAGAAGTACACTGCTCAAGAATTATCGATAACTGTACCTTTTTATTTTTTTTTGTATATGTCTATATGCTTTACCATGCATACGACTAAATAAACCTTCTGTTCTGTTCTGTTTATTTTTTAGTTATGGCACTTTGTTTTGCTTTTTCATGCTTCATGTTTGTCCAGAAAACAAAACCTCGAAAATTGTTTGGAATCTCAATTTTAAACTTTATAGGTTATTAAATCTTTTTGACCCCCCATGATCCCAAACACACCAACACTCCTACTCCTACCAAAAAATGTTATAATAATTTAATATTTTTGTAATATGTACATGATTGTAATCAATTCTTATATATAATCCACGTGGCAGAACAATAAATTATTTAATTTTTGAAAAGTACTTGTATCACTTTATGCATGTTTATATCTAGCGATAAAGAAGAATTGCAAGCTTATCAAGACAATTCTCAATGCCGGGCAAAGAGCATTGGTAAATCTTACTTGAAACAGAAAAAAAAATTATTGAAAATTGGACTTGACACTAGACTAAAGAGACTAAAAGTTGAAATAGAAATGACCAAACCGATAAAAAGGAGGTGATTTTCATAGCATTAAATAAATGCAGACAATACGATTGAAGGAAACATTCAGTGAAACAAGGGAAGTATTTATTGGTTTATGATTGCTGACAAATAAAAGCCAATGGCTTAGAACAGTAATCGTCGTGCCACTGGTAATCCTGTGGATTATTTGAAGAACCCCTCCACATATTTGCACAGTTCTGGTCATGTCCGCCATCATGATGGTTTGGTTGTCCCGGAAACCAGTCCCCCGAGGCAAGGTCAACCGTTGTGTTAGTAACCCATGTAAAGACATTAGTTAAGTCGAAGTCACGTGCACCAATCCAATAACCAGTTTGGTGGTTATCTGTAAAAGATTATAGGATAGTTCGTAATACGTTAACGTCATGATTTTTCTAAAAATATGTGGTCTTCTGTGTTGTTATATTTTTCTTGTCCGTCGGGATCATTGATTTAAGTTTTGAAACGTTCAAGCCGGTGCCAGATGGCGTAAGGGGTGCTGCATTTTTTGTTGTCCATCCGACTCAATTAAACCGATCTGCAGTGTTCATATATTGTTGTTGTTATAAATGTTTCCGAGGGATCACCTTAATTTATTACAGATTTCCGGATGAATTATAAGAATCAGTTTTTGAGTTTAAAGAATAAACAAACATTTACTTATGTAAGAAAATTTGTACAAGTTGAAATCAAAAGTAGATTAAATTTTCTAAATACATATATAACTTACAGTGACTGTCAGTAAGTATGGTATTTTTAAGAAGGATAGCTTCATCTTTGTTGTCAAGAACAACAAGGTCCCCTCCAGCACTAGAACATGCCGCTCTTGCACTGTCCCAATCTTCGTGATGTGTGTATATTTGAATACACAGTGACGCACTTCCGGTTGAATCTTGTATGAGTTGGTATCCAGCGGAAGTGTCACAAGCACCTGAAACGCGAGAATATCAAATTACTAAAATTATATACTAAGTACTAATTTACTTGTAATTTTACATCTATACTTAAGGTTAGAACTTATTTTCAAAAGTGGTTCGCCTCCACGTAAATTTTCTGTTTATATATACAGCTTTTTAAAAATAGTGAACATTAATGAAATAATTACTAGTATTTTGCATCAAAATAATCATTGATACCAAGGTGCCAGACATTACAATAGATTTGAAAATATTGACATGAAGTTCGTATAGTAACTGCAATGTATCTATGTTATTTAACGTAAATACAAGATCTGGGGTGACTTGATGGATATTTACTGCCAAATTAAAGGTCAAAACTGGTAAAAAAATGAATGTAGGACACAAAATCCTTTCCTGTAAGTTGGAGCCGGGATCCTTAATGAGCTACCTTCAGCCCTAAAGCACTGCATGTCTTTTTATTTGTTAGATTATATATAATTGATGTCTTGCTTATTCTCGATCAGTCTAGATACAGAAATAACATGCCTCCATGACATTCAGTTAATTGATCTTAGAAAAGAGCTAATATCCTGGATACCTATGCATATTATTTCTTTATATTAAGAATTTTACTGGCCAGCAGTTTGTGGTATCTTACTGTTGGACTCTGTTACTTAGATGATAATGGTGAAAGAACAAACAATAATTATTTAAAGTTAACCACACAGCACCATCAATAGAAGTGCGAATTAAAGTTGCATGAATGAAAGTCTGAAATTTCGAAGAAAATATAAAAATGTGTAGTACACCTGAAAATGCATCAGAAGCCCCATTTAAATGCAGATATTTGTTTTTAAAAAAAGAAGGACATTTAATTAATACACATGCATTTATTTAATGAGAACAAAGATAGATAGAAAAGGTAAGATTTTTTCTACGAGAATGAAGAAATGTGTTTTCCAGGATTTACCATACAGATTCATTATTTTACTGGTTCCCTGAACCCTCATATAGGAGGGGTTAGGTTTTGTGTAAGGGATTTCAACATGTTTTGGTGCTATTGGTCCTTTAATACAAGGTGTAACTATATTAGCGGTGTAGTCTGCAGTTGTAGTTACCATGGATCTTTGGCGATTTAAAACGACTTTATAAGTGCTTTATATTGTGTCCATGCATTATTTGAACGTTTCTTTATTTGATCTTTAAATTTATTATTTATTTACATATCTTATGCTCTTTTGTTCTTAATGGTTTTATACCTTCATTTAGCAATAACATACCTGGATTTACGCCGTTAGTAAAACACTTATCGTTACAAAAATCCTGTTGACAACAAACTGGTGGACAGTTACCGTGTGTGCCTATATTAGAGAAAGCTGCACATGCCTGAATAGATATTAATGTTTTTATATTAATTTTCATATAACATTGATATTGTAGTGAAAATATATTGTAAACATTCCTGTGTTATATTATCATCATAATATGTCTATGCGTTCACATGTTTTTGAAATTGTACAAAGTTCATCCTCTTTTATATGCTCACTATGCTAACTTCAACAATCCATGTCTTTTTATATGTGTCATGCAATATATGTATAAGTTAACCGTTAATATGTAAATTGTATTATTTAACAAGAAACATAACATGTTTGCGTTACTTAATAAAGAATTTACTATTTATAGCCGCCTCTTCAATTATATAGTCAAAAGAACACGGTACTTGCTTTCCTCTTTGAGTTTTTTAAAGAAAACAAAACAAAAACAAACAAGCAAAAACAAAAAACAACAAAAATAAAAAAGAACATTTGCTATCATTAAATACACATTTAATCTTCTCCACTTTTATCACACTAAACTTTGACAATCTGAGAATATTGAAATGAAAGTCAAGAAAATAACTTTATTATTAAATTGATATACACCATTTTGCCTAATTAATCTTTGTGAAGCCAGTAAGAATATTATTTTTTCTTGTCCTTACTTTCTTTTTTTACCATCTTTATTTTTTATACATTTTTTTTAAAAAATATTTTAAATAGCTTCATTAATGAGAACTATTTTTACATCCACTTACAGTTAGTCTATGTCTAAACAACTAACTGTAGTCATACTTCATTTGACTCTTCTTGTTCTTTGAGTTATATGTATTGTATTGTATTGTATTGTATTGTAAATACTACTAGTATTTCATTCTTATAACAATAAGCTTTACCGCTTTGGACTCACACATGCTTTTGTATACAGTTTGAGAAGAACTAGTCAAGTCTTGTGACTCAAACACAATGCACTCCTGGAAAAAACAACAACATAATTTAACAAAACATTTGAATCATCCAAACGTCAACTGTTATGTAACTTGGTGAACATAGATTTGAATTAATTCATGTAAAAAATGTGCTCTCTTAATTCAAGTAATGTTTAATATTTTACTGAAGATTAATTGTAAAACGTGATAATACCGTAGTCTACTGTAGTCATCAACTGTATAAAGTCTACTGTAGTCATCAACTGTATAAAGTCTACTGTAGTCATCAACTGTATAAAGTCTACTGTAGTCATCAACTGTATAAAGTCTACTGTAGTCATCAACTGTATAAAGTCTACTGTAGTCATCAACTGTATAAAGTCTACTGTAAGTCATCAACTGTATAAAATCTACTGTAGTCTCAACTGTATAAAGTCTACTGTAGTCATCAACTGTTATAAAGTCTACTGTAGTCATCACTGTATAAAATCTACTGTAGTCCTCAACTGTATAAAGTCTACTGTAGTCATTTCAACTGTATAAAGTCTACTGTAGTCATCGAAACAGTATAAAGTCTACTGTAGTCATCAAATGTATATAGTCTACTGTAGTCATTAAATGTATATAGTCTACTGTAGTCATCAACTGTATATAGTCTACTGTAGTCATCAACTGTATATAGTCTACTGTAGTATAGTCTACTGTAGTCATGTATAAAGTCTACTGTAGTCATCAACTGTATATAGTCTACTGTAGTCATCAATTGTAAATAGTCTACTGTAGTCATCAACTGTATATAGTCTACTGTAGTCATCAACTGTATATATATGTAGTCATCAACTGTATAAAGTCTACTGTAGTCATCAAACTGTATATAGTCTACCGTAGTCACCAATTGTATATAGTCAACTGTAGTCATCACCTGTATATAGTCTACCGTAGTAATCAACTGTAATAAAGTCTACTGTAGTCATCAACTGTATATAGTCCCTACCGTAGTCATCAAATTGTATAAAAGTCCTACTGTAGTCATCAACTGTAAAAATATAGTCTACTGTAGTCATCAAACTGTATATATATATATGTAGTCATCAACTGTATAAAGTCTACTGTAGGTAATCAACTGTATAAAGTCTACTGTAGTCATCAACTGTTTATAGTCTACTGTAGTCATCAACTGTATATAGTCTACTGTAGTCATCACTGTATATAGTCTACTGTAGTCATCAACTGTATATAGTCTACTGTAGTCATCAACTGTATATAGTCTACTGTAGTCATCAACTGTATATAGTCTACTGTAGTCATCAACTGTATAAAGTCTACTGTAGTCATCAACTGTAGTCAGATTTGGTACACTTGCAAGCTTATAACGATTATATAAAATAACAGATACTCAATGTATGATAAAGAACACTAAACAAACTTTTAGTACGACTTCATTGCCGTTGCGTTAAGACAGTCTGACTATTTCGATATGTTTTATACAAAATTCATACCTCCGACTCTTGACAAATTGTGACGTCGTTGCAAGTAGAAGGGTCCATTGTAGCATCGCATGTGAAACAATAAGGTCCTCTTTTGTCCCGCGATACAACTATGAAGAACAAAAAGATTAAATTATTTAACCATTTAAAGAGTACAGATGTTTTCGACTGGCATATTTGATACCATTTATTATTACATAAAAACTGAATATGCAGCAATCTCCTCCCAAATCATTACGAAACCGGTTGTTACTACAAAAAAATAAACAAAAAAACAAACAAAAGCATCAAACAAACAAACAAACAATAAATATGTAGGTGTTATAAGTTGGTTATATAAGAGAGTTATGATAACATTGTAGTAATGAAGGTAAAGTAAGGAAGTTTACCCTGTGTGTTGCAACCCTGTATATTACAGTAATCTTTGTCGCAGCATTCAACACATGTTGTTACAGCGGTGTCCTGTCTCGACATATCTCGCCTCCCTACTATAGTTCCAAGTGCGGGGCAAGTCTGTAGAACAACATGGTCAATATTTATATGGTATACATGTATTTCTCAAATACTAGTAATATTATCATTCTTACAAAGAATTAGGTATGCGTCATTACAATCAGAAATAAAGATTCGGTATCTCTTTTAAGAAACATTATGCTATACAAGTACATGATGTAGTTTAAATAAGAAATCGCATCAATCATATCTAAGAGATATATTTCCTTTTCTTGTTTTTCATTTACTCGAACATATTTTTGTTTTTGTTTTCTCTTATTCATATTTATAACAATCAGGGAAATTCGAAATAAATGTTGATTTAAAATTACTCTACTCAGTATAGATATTTTTTGATATGTGCACATATACTATTAACAAAATAATTATAATAATAATAATAATCAAGATGATGATGATGATGATGATGATAATAATGATAATGATAACGATTACGATAATAATAATAATAATAATAATAATAATAATAATAATGATAATAATAATAATAATAATAATAATAATAATAGTAGTAATAATGTTACGGTTTTAGCTCGGCATCCTAAACTGTAGAGTACAGTTCCATCATATTGGACATACTGTCTGATGGAGCAAACCTGAATTAAAACGAAACTCTCTGCTGTACAATATATTCATTGAAATAAAAATTTAAAACATACGAACTTTAACAAAATATGTACTCATATTTGAAAGAGATTAAAAAGATTACAAATAAAATAAATAATCGTTACTGATTAAAATAACCTGGTTGAAGGTCAACGAATTGTTTTTGTTGATCAGTTTAGATCGAGCTAAACAAAATAGGGCCTGTTTGCTGATAATTAAAAATACTTTAAAAAGATGCAATGTACAATATATGAAAATCATTACTGTTAAAAACTAAAAATCCCTTACTGTTTAGTGATAAAGTTTTCTTTTACTATCTTTAACAAATTTGCCACTGTTTCTTTATAAAAATATACGTTACTTATAGGAATTAAATAGACAAAACTATGTCATTTTATGAATCTAAATAAAACAGATAAAGTTTAAAGCTAAATAACAAATTTGTTATCGTTGTGTTCAAGCTAAAAATTTATTTTGTTATTGTAACTATTTAAAACTGAATACGAAAAAAGTCGCTGTGAGATAAAAAAAAAAAATTAAATGTTCGTTTCTGTTAGAAAGCAACTAAATCGAGGATGCAGAATGAGTGCAGATTCAATCCTGAATTTATTTTTTATCCAACGAGTTGAATAAATCTATTAATATAGGTACACGAATATAATAGTCTATTTACTACATATTCAAAGAAGAACTGTTTACAGTAAAAAGCACCTTTTCATTGCCCAACGCGTTTATAGTATAACGCGAACATTAAAGCGCGTCTTTACGCTATTATTGATTAACGTGACGTCGAAATCATATGCACGGCCGTGCCACACCAATTTTCGGAGTCTCAAAAGCGGCACGGGTATGTAATAAAATAATGTCCTTTATCACACACCCGTGCAGATTTTGCGACTCCGTAAAAATGGTATTGCACGGCCGTGCATATATTTTGACGTGACGTCATTAGCGTTATACAAACATAGTGTCGTTAGCGTTATAAAGACGCGCTAAATGATAGCGTTATATTATAGGCGCGTCAATGAAAAATGACTCTTACTTCACTTTAAACGGTCTTTATTTTGGGCATGTGATAAATAGAATATTAAATTCGTGTAAGTTCATTACTGAATTTATTGCACTCGTTGAATAAAATAATATTATGCTCGCCAGAGGCTCGCATAATATAATTTCATTCAACTCGTGCAATAAATTCAGTATTGAACTTACACTCATTCAATATCCTCTATTAATCCTGATTCATTATTTTGTTTTGATAGTTATATTCATGAAATAAAATTGCTAAATCAATCATCTATTTTGCGATATTGTACATGTTAGTTTAAAAATTCTAATGGTTGATGTATACAGATATAATTCGTAATATGATGAATTTTATCGCACAAGAAGCTATATTTCCAACATGGTCACATGATATTGCTATGGACATACCTGATCTGGTCCACAAGTTTCAACTTTAGTACATAAACCAGGATCTGCTATGTCTGTACAATGGAAGCATCGCTCTGCTCGTACTGGAAGAAAACACATTTATACAAAAACCATTTTTCTCTGATTGCTCCCACCTGAATATTTTCCACAACCTATAAGAAATTAGTTTTTGAAAACCCTTTTTTAAAATTTATTGTTCATCTACCATAGCATAAACAGTGTAATGTTGACACATTTTTGCGATTGGTTTCAAATATTTTCTATTCAAAAGTCAGTTTTTCTTATTATTTTTTATAAAATGGAAAATGGTCCCAGTTGGACCCGATATAGATTTCTAAAAGATCCTCCTCTGGGACTCAGAAAAGTTTGCTACGGAATACATGGAATACATAGTAAATTATAATTATCTAAAGAATATAATATTTTATAGAATTGTACTTTTTCACTAGACATCAGTCCATCCTTTTTTCTTCTATGTTTTAATAAAGAATGATCTTTGATTGCCCAGATGATAAAGAGTTAGATATATAAACTTATTGAAAGATGTTGATTGACCATAAATATATGTGTTTTTTAAAGGGAAATTTAATTTGAGTCGCGTCATGACAAAACCAACATAGTGGGTTTGCGACCAGCATGGATCCAGACCAGCCTGCGCATCCGCGCAATCTGATCAGGATCCATGCTGTTCGCTATCAGTTTCTCTACTTGTTATAGTGTTTGTAAGCGAACAACATGGATCCTGATCAGACTGCGCGGATGCGCAGGCTGGCCTGGATCCATGCTGGTCGAAAACCCACTATGTTGGTTTTGTCGTGACGCGGCTCATTTGCATTTGCTTTAAAGTAGTACTGTATTGACAACAACATGGGGACCTGAATTTGAATATTGCCTTCTTATTTTAAAACGCAATGCATAACTTGTGTGTTGAGCTTGTGATTTGAGTTTTATAAAACATCAAAATGGTAAGTTTAAGAATATGTAGTCAATACCTATCGGGTGATTTGAGCAGTTTATTCAAGAACAACATGTATTTTTTAAAATTTTTATCATGAAGTTAAAAATTGATTTGCTGCCATTCCATGGCACATAAAACATGTATCACAATTATTGACAACTTTGGCAATTTTAAGACTGAAAGATATGTATGTTTTACTATCTAAAATAACAAAATAAAAATAAATCAGAAAATTAATAATCACAGTAATTTCTTTTAGGAGAACTTCTCAAAATATATTAATAAAATGCCAGGAAGCAAAATGTGTATATAAACAAAAAACAACAACAGTATAACATCACTAAAGGTTTTATCATTTAGTAAGAAGTGTGCAAAAGATAACATAAGTCAATTTTTTAATTACTAATGAAATTTAGTTTACACTGGCTATAGAAATTTACTCTCCAGCACCCTTCATTCATTCTTATTTTCAACACCCAAACATATAAGGCAATCTAGTACATACACGATGCACAAAATAAAACACGAATGCTTAACCATGATGTCATTATATGATAAACCGAAATGAAATGACGTCAGGAAAATTACGTCTACTCAATATTCAGCGTACATATTTTTATAACAATTCTCTTTTGTATTATCATGATAGAATGGAATGAAATATTATTGTTCTTGCATTATAGTATAATATTGCACGGTGTATCGTTCGAAGTCTCTCATGCCTATTGGCCTTCGTGATTATATTCCTGCCATTTGAACTAGGACCGTTCAATATTCTACGATAATGCACTCAAAATTGATATATATTTCCTAAACAAAATGTCTTATAAATGTATGTTAGATAATTGGAACACTTCAACTCACCAAAATAGAACGCCCCAATTAAGCCGATTAATTTAAAATTCACAGCAAACATTTCTTCCCTTTTGCAAATATAGTAAATAAGGTCAAATAAATCATATCATGAATTAATATGTCACATGATTTGTGCAATCAAAAATTCTCAAATATAGGCCAGTGTCATCAGTACATTGATTGAATAACAATTTCAATGTTTATCTCTGCCAGCACCAAGATTCGTGTTGTAAAGGTCCAACTTTTAAAGACAGTTAACAGCGAGTTCAATTCAAAGGTTAAACGTCAGCAAAAATAATTCAAGTCTTGAAACAGATATCGGTAGAACCAGTGCGCGCATACTATTTAATTATGTATCAGTCACTCAACTCAAACACTATTGGAATATCTATGAATTAATATTACAGTGAATTTGCACGCATAAAAGTGATGTTACATAAAAAATAAAGACTTCATACAAAAATCAAATACAATTTTAGTAGACTCTGTATTGTATAAACCGAGCACTGAATATTGTTGCTCAAATAAACACGCATGATTGTCTTTAACCGTATATGTACCTGCTTTCCTTTCACAAAGTTTGAAAAAAGTGCGATGTTTTTTTTAATTGAGACTTATTTTGACATCTTTAACAAAGATTTTCTAATACGATGCGAAAGAGAAATGTTCTTTGTATGAATATGTCTGCAAATGTGACAGCAAAATTTTCTTAAGAAAAGAAATGTTCATTTTTTGTATTGTGAGCGAATACTTTTACAACTTGTTTTAAGCACTTAATGCAGCGGCCTGAAGTACAAGCACTTAATGCAACGGCCTGAAGTACAAGCATAAAGAAAATGAAAAGCCATTTATCAAGATTTCTTATTTATTTGGTGTATTGTGCATCTCTGTAGTAATTTAATTAATTGTAATAAAATATATTTGTTGTAAAACACTACACCCAAATTAGAGTACATGCATGTTAGCCAATGCGCCATTCGCCTAAGTATAATTTCAAACAGGTGCACGCGAGGTATACAGTGTACAGTCTTTGATGATCCAAATTCAACATACTTAATTTACAAATGACTGATTAATTGATTGATTGTTTGATTTAATGAATGAATGATTGCAGCGCATAACCATACAATGCATGTACATGTACTTTCGGGGAATCTTCTTGGTTCCAGAATTGTATACAGTATGGTTGCAAGAAGGTCAAATTGTATTCAGTGTTAAAGTCCCATATTTATGAACGTCTATAAAAGGAACAGTAACAAAACATGAAACGACCCTGATGCACTAATCCTGTCAAGATACTTAACTCCAGTTTATGACTTTTCCACACTTACAAGATATAATGTAAAATAGTAACACAATGTATATATATGACGTCACTTTGACTTACTAAAGCAACAATTAAAACTGCATGTAACCTTGAAATTGACTTTGCGATGGATATGAAGCTTTTCAAAACATAATTAATCATTTTGCGCTCTTACAAAGGAAACCTTAGATTTACTACCATAATTGTTAATCCTGTTGAGTATGTGTCATACTTTGATGGACCATAGTTCAAAAATGTAAGTGATGTATTAAATAGTCGTATGAAAAGTTCAAGAATCTAACAAGATAATTTTGTAATGACCATTTATTTATCCTTGTCTCATTTATAAATACCAGAAAATACAGCTGGATCTTATATTTACAGACTGTGCATCTAATTATAATTATATTAATGTGAATGATCCGACACAAAGGAAATGAGTAGTTTTTATCATGTATACAGTCCAATGAAATATATACTTGGATGCCGGACAATAGTCTATGGCACTTAATACATTCTGAATAGCAAATGTAAAGTTTATAAAATAATCTTTGAATATTATATAAAAATTGCTTAATAAAGCATCCACATAGTACAACTACTTTTACTTGAGTTGAGATAATGTGATATTTTATTTTCAAATCCTGATCCCGACACCTCACTGGCTTTTATTCGTTTTCAAAAACAATTAATAAAACACAATTGCTTAAAACTGATCAAGATATAGTATACGTACTGTGTTCTCGTTTATCAGATGTAATGTAAGGAACAAAAGGGTTTATGGCTCACTATATACAAGTCAGAAATTGTCATCACACAGACACACCCGATCGAAGCTAAATTTAAATAAAGTGTCCAATAAAATTTTATCTGTGAGGAAAACTAAAACGTCTGGTATCCTTTTGATGAAACAGCAATTAACAAATACTTGTAAAAGAATGGTGATTTGGCGCCATTAAATATTATCCTTTACTTGAATGTCCATCAAACCACTGTTTTGTTTATTGATTGACACATAACTGAAGTAAGAGAATTAGTTAACTACGGTGGCACAAAGGTGACATGTGTGCGTTTTTATTTATCTCGTGGCCACGAGATACTATGTCGTGGCCACGAGTTACTAAGTCGTGGCCACGAGATAGCTATCGTGGCCACGAGATACTTAGTCGTGGCCACGAGATAGCTAAGTCGTGGCCACGAGATACTATGTCGTGACCACGAGTTACTAAGTCGTGGCCACGAGATAATTAACCAATCAGAATACACTATATATATTATGAATTTTTTTAAACTTGACAACTTACTTTTACATGCAACATTAATGTTTGAAAATATTGAAGATATTCACTTTAAACTTGTCTTTAAAATCATATTAGAATGTCACCTTCCAAGGCCCATCAGACATTAATTTTGACTACAGCTCTTTGTTGGGCAATTTCGTGTTCGAATTGGTCAGTTTGTACGTACTACGGCCTGTTAACCTTGTTTATACGATAACATGAGAAGGAATAACAATGGTAGGATACTACGTCATCGCGCACCTGCTATAAATGCTCCCACTTGGACCATTCTTTCGTCGACTCGAAGGTAAAATACAATTTTATTATAAGAAAACGTAAGAGTATTATAAAATCATGTAGCGCACCAAAGAATGGCTATAGTACTTGAGATGATTGTAAAAAAAGTTTATAGATTTATTGCCTGGTTTAGGCCTGAAAACGGGATAAGTGATTTTCTCTGAATGCTCCCACTCGGGACTTCTTTCGTCGTTGGGTAGGAACAAGGTGCCATGACAAGGTTTCAACTGATAGGATCACTATACAAAAAGGTGCACTTGGCTTGTGTTGGATCCGAATGGATAATTTAAAATTATTGCCAACAACAAAGCTAGGACTATAAGACTTTAAATGGACAGTTTGGATCTCAAGAATAAAGTTTTGTTTAGATGTTAAAAAATGGTGGTGTTTTATAAAGAAGTCATTATACATTGTTTAGTACCATACTGGATTAAGATTCTGTTGGACTCGTGCACATATTAGAGGCCAGCATTTATTCAATAATTGCTGACTTTAATATCTTGTTAATAATTTAAAACCCAATGATTTGCGTGTTTGTTAAACTTGTGATTTAGGTCTTAAAACATCATAATGGTACGTTTGTGAACATAGAGAAGTCAATATCTATCGGTTAATTTGAATAGTTTATTAAAGAACAACATGTAAATCATTTTGTCATGAACTGGTTAAAAAGTCATACTGCCATACTATGGCACATAAAGCATGCGTCACAATTATTGACAACTTTGACAATTTTAAGTATGAAAGTTATCATGTGTACGTATTTTTACCTAAATAACAAAATTAAATAAATAAGAAAACAAAGATCATAGTTATTTCTTTATCACAGTCTTTACCATATCTTGGTAATTAATGATCATGTAAGTTATATTTCAGGTTGTTACCAACTGAAATTGTGTATATACATGTATGTATTAATAATTATGGTACTAAAACAATTTTCAAACATAAAGGAATATGTAAAATACGTACTGCAAATGCTTGTCCACATTATATGTAATCATTAAAATATACATATATGCATAATGCATTCATTTCTTATTGAAGAATTCAACTTACACTTAATAGAAACTATATTTCTAATTACCTCCCTTTATGAAATGTAAATTCGGTATTATCTTTACGGATAATGCTTTTTGGAACAAACAATATTGATAAATCTTCATTTGAGCATTATATTTATGATATAAAACTATAGAAAATTATTTCAGGATATTTAAATGACGTTAAAATAATAAAAAGGAATCACAGACAGTAAAATCCCCCGCCGCAAAGGAGGAAGTACATTTCATAGGGGAAGTAACCCTTACATTGGCTTACATACGTGTAAAAATTCCAAGTAATGACACTCGTGAAAACTAAAGAAAAGTTATAGCCTAGACATAATAAATCATGACAAAAATAACACTCCCATGAAAAAAAAAACAAAGAAAAAACAACAAAGAAGCATTAGTGAACACTTCTGGTCCTTATGCTATTCACTTCTATTAAACATGTTCAATATAAAGTTTCAAGTTTATATCTCAAATACCTTTAGAGGTATGGTCCTTGCAAACTAATGATAATGAATACAAAGAGCAATAACTCCAAAACTGGAGAGTTGTCATTCTTGTTTGCGGTATTTTACTTTATTGAAATCTATCCTCCAGTGAAGTTTCAGATGAATTGATCCTTTATGACACATTGTCCAAAAATTAACGCAAAAAAAAACTGAACAAAAGACAATTACTTCAAAGAACTATTCTAGAGTATTCCTCCTCACTGAGATATATCCACAGTTGGTATCTAAAATATTTGCTCCAGCTATGCCGTGCTAAGATGTCCTGCCATGTGATTCCTTACGTCGCAATGTGGTTTATACCTTTTCCCATATACTGATCACAAACACAAATACTTTCTGCAAAACAAAACGTTATTTTTTATTTTTTTTATAATCCTCTAAGAAGACATATTTACGAGACTGTTTATTAGTATCGTATTTCAAAAATACTTATACATTGAATTCTTACTGATTATGATTATAATGTTATATGTCACGTGATCAATGGAGAAAGCATGGGTTTTACGAGCTTACAAATAGATGGAATTAAGTGTAAATTAAAATAAATTTTGGAATAACTTTTGGATAAAAAGGTATATTAACACATTTTCTTCATGTCTGTGGAAACGAAAAATCAAAATAAAAAGCAAAATAAGAAGAAAAAGCGAAAACAAATTTCACCATTATTTGACATATGTGTTGAACGCACGGATGAACATACTGACCATTCTAAA